ATTGTGTTACAAACAATATACCACTGAATGACCATCCATGCGTTGTGCGCCCAACGTAAAGTAATTCCACCATAACCAATAAAATAGTACATTAATAATCTCATAATTTCAATCTAGGGTTTTTGATAAAATACTTAAAAACACATCATAACACAATCAAACCAATATGTCGAGTTAAAAAACTCTAGTACATTAATAATCTCATAATAGTATAATAAAATGATAATGGTAGTATCATACGGTATTCATAATAGTATACTACTGTATTACAACGGTTTAACACTTAACCAACGTTACCGAGCCATTACATCGTAAACACGACATTAATTAAACATATCAAATCTTAGGGTGGTTTGGAAAATAACAACCATCGGAATCATTTGAATTCATTGAGTTTATGTCCTCGTCGCTATCATCAGGAATGCAGTCGACTTCTTCTTCGAACAACTGCACAAAGCCTGCATTCAATGCCTCACTTCCAGTATCATCAACGGCTCCAACTAGTTCACCCCCACCCCCTGTTCCATCATCATCAGAAATAACAACTTCAGCATCATATAAACTTAAAAAATGCAGAATACAAATAATTGATTAAATAGACTACCAAATACATTCCAATGTACTACCGAATACATTAAAATCGACTACTGTAAACAAACAAAACAACTATCAGTCAGTTCAACTTCATCAACTCAACCACACCAAATATTTATTTTGATTACTGCGTAAACCAACTGCGTGAATCCTCTTCCAAACAAACATCATCAGACAAAATAAAGATGTATATGTGACGACGTAATTTTTTTAAGAAACGATCTACTTTACTACCAATATAATCAACGTATCAACACAAATCTTAAAATGTCTACCCACCATAACACAACAACCCCCGCACAAATACAGCGAAAATAAAAACGAAAAAAAAAGTTATTACCCGCTTAACGACGGACAACGATGAACGCTCAGATCCGAACCTACCTCCACGCCGGTGAAAACTTCTTCAAAGCCGATGGAAACGATGAATCGATGGAGCTGAAATTATTCAAAACCGATTGTACACGTTGTGATTATAACGAAACCGCCAATATACTCACGTAATTTTATTCCGTGATTTTAGGCAACGTATCAGCAATCTCATATCACGTAGTTAAGGAAATAAATGTCGTTCAAAAATAAAGCAGGGGTATTAAAGGGAAATTAAATAATATATTGTGCCAAGTTGGCATATTTGGGTATATATCAAAAAGGGAAAAATTAATTGGATCTACCTCATTAGAAAATATAAACACGGGGGTTATCCCTAATAAACCCTTGTTTTTAGTGTATTTTGTCTTCAAGTGAGATGACACTTTGAATGATTTTCGTTTTTTATGCTCATTGGAGTTTAATTATCATTTTTTTCCGTTTGTATTTTGTGCTTTAAATGTGTGTGCAAATATTGTATCAGTGATTTTTCTATTGTGCTATTGGAATTCGTGTATGCATAATGGTAATATTTTATTTTTAGCAGTATTATAAGAGATGAGACGCGTGTATCGGACCAATATTATCAACAACAAAGATACATATATGAAAATTACTCTAAACAATGGTAATATT